CACAGTTTATTAGGAATATGCCTTCTCGTAGCACAAAAACAGCTACCTGAATCTGCTCTTTCTATATCGAATTACCATTCACAATCATGTGAATCTACATTTCGACTTACCAGATCGATGTCAGGTGCCTTTTCATCAATAGTGAATTTTACTATTGAACAATTCCTAAAGCGAGCGGGTAAACTTTCGGTTCTAACCGAAATAGAAAACCAGAGTGAGTCTGGTCAGTTAAAATGTCCACTTAAGTTTCCTAAACATCATAAACGACAACGGAAACGAACTATTTTGAAAAAACAAATTGCTGGTTCATCTATGAATCATCTTACGATTGACAACATTCAAAAAGCTGTTTATCGAGCATTTGATGATGCATATAATCTTCTTTCTACAGTTGATATCAATAGTGCTCTACGAAAAAAGAAAAAAAATACGATTTCTCAAGTGAGCTCGTTTGTGCGAACACAGTTCACCAAAAAGTTTAAAAAAGTCTCATATGATGATATTGAAACATATTCATCTGATGATGAATATGATTATAAATATAAAATTGATCCGTCTGCGAATGTAGAGGAAGAAGATACATCTGATGATGAAGATAATCTATCCTCTGTTTCAGCTAGTGGAAAGACTCATTTTCATGGAATGAGAGTATACGATAATATCCCTTCTCAATCGAAATCTTATTTTTGTGTTGAAATTGACGGGAAAAAAAAGTTCATTCATAAACAGACTGCTTGTTGGCTTTTAACCGATGAGAAAGCATCTCTATCAGCTGATCGAGTTAAACGAGTGCAACAGGGAAATTAGTAAATACTTGACGAAGTAGTATAATAAATTGTATAGGTAGTTAAATAGTTTTTGTTCTTTTTTTTTCATTTTTCTGATTTTTGTTATTTTTTTTCCAATAAAATACGATAAACTAACATTCTCTGAAGTCCCAGTTGGCTTGATACCCATTATAACAAGTGACGTGTCTCGCTAACTGACGGCAACAGATTTTATTTTTACTATTGTTTAACCTGCTGTCTTTCTTTATAACCTTCTGTGCAAAACCTTTAAAGTAGAAAAAAATCCCTGAAATACTATAAAAATCCCAGAAATACCATAAAAATCCCAGAAATACCATGGAAATCCCAGAAATACAAAAAAAATCCCAAAATCTACTGGAAATCTTGTGGCAATCCACAAAATACGAAAAATACGAAAAAAATACTGGAAATCCCAGAAATACGCAATCCGCCGTTTCCCCCTTGCTAGAGACAGTGTTTGATCCCTTCTTTTTGGATTTTGTTATCAGACATCTCACGTAATTATGATGAACATTATATTTCAATTCCAACTGAATTCAGTTACATTAGTAGTGTCCTGTTTTCTTACCGATTTTCTTTGTCTAGTTTCATAAAAGTACTTTGTTTATGACTGATGTCCGAATATCTTTCTACTTTTCCTATAAGTTCATCAAGTACATTTTAAATTTTTGGCATATATTGTGAATCACTGTGAAGTAGATGTAGGTATGTCTGTTTTCTATTACGTCGTCCACCCGCCCATTGCAAGGTTTTTTTTTGTGTTGGCAAAGTTTTGTTGAACTGTTCGTCATTATCAATTGTCAATGTTAAATTGACTACCAGAAATCCCTTTAGAATTTCTCATATTTCACTAGCTCAAAATACAATATGCTTAAAAAAAGCTGTTAGCGCAATCCCTTGCGGGATTAAAAATGTGAAACACGATGGACCTATTGTTACTAATTGAATGGGCATCGTTTTGTTCAATTTCGTCACGGTGTATTTCTAGCTTGCCGTTTATTTTATACTTCAAAACTACACTTTATCTGTCTCGATCTGTGACGGTGTCTGGAATTCTCTGTCACGATCTGTGATGGGTCCAGAGCTCCATCTATCACGGTCTATGATGGGTCAAAATCGCGTCTGTCACGGTCTGCGATGGGTCTGGAGCCCCGTCTGTCACGGTCTGTGGAGGGGAGGGGGTTGCAAAATTTCTACCCATAAACACTTCAACACTCCTTTCAGATCGTGTTTCACAAAAGAATTATTGCTTCTATGTTGACAGAATAATTTATCTCATTGCAGGCTGCGAACGAAGTACACGAGATAGTTGGATCAACTACCACTCTCTAAGGAAAAAGTATCATAGTGAAACGTTTAAGGTTCTAGATTTGATTAACATTTTAAGAACATTTTTTATAGTTCCAGCCAAAAAATTTAGAACTTCAATCAGTTTAAAGTCTTTGACTGGAACTAAAAAATGGTCCTTCAAAATGGTAACCAAATCTAGACCTCTAAAAAGTTCAGTCGGTCAACGTTTTTTTTGCAGGGCAGTCCAAAAGGATTGGTGTGAGATTAGAACTTTGTCAAGGAATGTCTAAATATATATAAACTATCCTCTGATTGATGACTAGGAGACGACACGCTCAGTTCACGCTTAAAAAAAGTCAGCTCTTGAAAAAGCTCACAGAGCTAAACTGAACTGTTCGAACAGCTCACTTGAACGAACCGAGCTTTTCTACCAGCCCATTTCTAATGAAGTGAACCGTTCGAACAGCTCATCTGAGCGAGCCGAACTTTTTCGAGGGGTACCCTTATGGCCCTGAAGGGATACAATAGGGGGTACCTTTAGGTCCTCAAGGCCTACTCTAGGGGGTGCCCTTAGGTCCTCAATGCCTACTATAGAGGGATACCCTTAGGTCCTCAAAGCCTACGATATATGAAAACCTTAGGCCCTCAAGGCCTACTATAGAGGGATATCCTTAGACCCTCAAGGCGTACTATAGAGGGATACTCTTAAGTTCTCAAGGTCTACTACAGCGGAGTATACCCTTAGCACCTGAAGGCGTACTATACGGCGACACCTATAGGTCCTCACGGCATACTATTGGGAGGTATCCTTAGGCTCTCAAGGCACACTATCCCCTTGAGGACCGTGGGACATACCTTGTCCCACCTATTTTTCAGTAGAGAAAAAAGTCTTTACTTTACACTAAACTAGTAAATATGTGAGGTCATTAAGTTCATAGACAACCGTATCTATCAAATTGCACTTTTTCTTTCCTCCTCTCATATAGTTTCGTTTCGAATATCCTTCGTTCTTTCTGCTAGTGTATAGTGACGTCATGATCTCTCTTTCTCTCTATTTTTTTTTCGAGAACATTCTTTGTTTCTATAAAATTGGTATATATATCTCCTTGTTCTCATTGACAAATTTACATTTTTCTTGAATTTTCAAAGCATATCATTTATATTTCGCATCTATACTCTTCATTTCTTTATATCATTGTTATAAATAAAACTAAGAAAATGGCATTCTATGGAAATAATGAAGTCGATGAGGAGTCCTGTGATTCATATACGAGTGATGATAGCAGAGAGAGTGACTTCGATTTCGATTATGTTGAACTGGTTGATAACCTTGATGAACTCGAAATTTCTGATGAAGATTCTTATATGTATACAGAGGAGTTGGAATTAATGAATGAAAGTTATATCGCGGATGGTGGCCATACCTCAATATCCCTCAAAGAACAAACTCCAGTTTCAGTCTTTAGAAGCTTTTTTACTGAAGAAATTTTAAACCTGATTACTGATCAAACAAACATTTATGGAAGAGAAAAGAAATCAAGTAATAATCAGAGAAAAAGCAGTAATTGGAAGGATGTCAACAAGAAAGAGATTGAGTCATTTCTCGGGTTGATTATTCTAATGGGTATTAACGACTTGCCGAATATGAAACTGTATTGGAGTAAAGATATGGTGTTTCATAATACATTTATCTCTTCGATTATGTCAAGGAACCGTTTTCTACAAATTTTTTATAATTTACATTTGGCGGATAATTCATTGGAACCAAAACGAGAATCTAAAAGCTATAATAAAATTTACAAAATTCAGAGTTTTATTGAAATTTTACGAAAAAATTTCCAGAAAAATTATAATTTTGGTCGCTATGGTACAATCGACGAAAGTATGATAAAGTTTAAGGGAAGATCAAGCTTCAAGCAATATTTACCCCTAAAACCGATAAAAAGAGGCTATAAAGTTTGGTGTTTATGTGATTCAGTCACTGGTTACTTATTCAACTACCAAATATATTTAGGAAAAGAAGAAGCCAGTGAAAAAGAAATACTTTTAAGTGAACGTGTTGTTTTCAATCTTACTTCTGATCATAATTTTGAAGGAAAACATCTATATTTTGATAACTTTTTCACTTCCTTGGGATTATTAGAAAAACTAAAGTTACAGAACATAAAGGCCGTTGGAACGATTAGACAAGATCGGGCAGGTATTCCGTCAGATTTTGCCAAGAAAAATACAATGGAACGAGGAGATTACAAGGCAATCATTACATCGAACAGCATTGTCTTCATTTGGATGGATACCAAATATGTTTTTTTGGCTTCAAATTATCATAAAGACAACAAAGTTGTTCCGATTTCGCGTCGGTTGAGAAATGGTTAACGAGTTACAATCAACTGTCCGCAAGCAATAAAAGATTATAACCAGTTTGCGCATGGAGTTGATCGGCTCAACCAAAGAATATCCTGTTACAATCTCGATCGGAAGTCTAAAAGAAACTGGCTTCGAATTTTCATTTATTTTCTAAACGCATCTATTTCCAATTCATTTATTTGCTATAATCAGTTAGCTCAAGATAAAATAACATATCTAAACTATATGGTTTCAGTGGCGAAGTCTCTCTGCTCCAGTAGTGAACGAATAAGTCGTGGACGACCTTCTACAAGACAGAAGTCTAAATTAGCATCACCAAAAACTGTTCTTAATTTTGACAATGAAATGCATTTGCCTGTGAAAACTACAAGAAGAAGATGTGCTTATTGTAGCACTAAGGAAGCAGAAGTTCGATCCGACATCGAGTGCTTTACTTGCAAATTGGTATTTTGTTTAAAAGAAGGAAAAAATTGCTTTTTTGATTATCATAAGATTTTTATGTAACCATTTTGACTTTAGACGCAATAAAACGGTTGAAAAATGATTTTTCAATCAAAACAGAATTCGGTCCTCAAAGGGCTATAGCGAGCTACACTTAGGCGCTGAAGGCCTAGTGTAGGGAAAGAGCACCTTAGGTTCTCAAGGCATAGTGTTGACGGGTACCCTTAGGTTCTTAAGTTCTAGTATAGCGAACATCCTGATGTCTCCAAGACCTACTATATAGGAACACCTTGGGTGCTGAATTGGTATTATTCGGAGTACCGTTGGATGCTGAAGAGCTACCATAAAGGTACTGTTAGATTGTCGTAGGCTACGACTTCAAAGTAGCTCTAGATTTGATAAGGCTATGATAGCGGTACTCTAGTGCTTTTGATAAACTACTATGTATGGTTACCCATTAGTCCTAAGGGTTCACACTTTATTGTACTCCTAAGTGGTTGTGAACTGGCTAGAGACTGTGCGGCTAGATTATGAAGGGAGTTCAAAGAGACACACAATATCTGCAGAAAAGTCATTCTTCAGGAGTTTAATTTATGCTATCGAGGCCCTGTCTGGGCTATTCATTCCGGCATCTATAGTTGCTGTCGAACTATAGAAGAGTAAGATACTGAGAATTTTTAGGCATATCATTTTAGCGTACTTTTGAGTCTTCAGATATTGGTGTATCGGCTTGTTTGGAAACCCGCTCGTTTTTTGTGTGAAGGCGGTGGTGAAATGGACGTCGAATGCTGTATCCGTAAAAAATATCAGGAAATTACATTTGTCTCGATATGGTTAGTAAGGATCATTTTTTCAGTGTATTTTCGTTCTTAATGCTCGTTATTATTGGTCTGCTGTGAA